CGACCTATGCGCACAAGTGTTGCTTTTCGCCAACATCCAAAGCACTCACGAGTATGGGACGCCCGTGATGCTCCTCAAAAAAGCAGCTCAGTAGGAGGGAGACGTCGTTGATGAATTCGCCCTGGCGCAGCTGGGAAGCTCTGACGGTCTGCGAAGGAGCGTCCCCCTTGCGATGCTGCGCCTCGATTGTGGCGCTGTCCTGAATCTCAGAAGATCTCGACTTGTCGAGAGTGTACAGTGACTCGCCTCTTCCAGCAGCAGCGTTGCAGATGTTGTCTTGTGTGGAAGAAAGTGGGCAAGGTCAGCAGTTCATCGGACACTGCCGCCGGGGGGGAGAGGGTGGTCCTGTCACACGCACCTTCGACAGACTCGTTTGCCATGTAGCAATACACCTCGGTCTCTTGCTGCTGTCCAATTCGGTGTATTCTGCCCAGGGCTTGAAGCTCGCGGCTGTGATTGACGAGCGGTTCCTGTGGAAGGCAATGGGTACACATGAGCGAGTGTGCCTCAAGTCTGGTGCATCCTGAACACGACGTTCTCTCACCAGCAAGATGATCCGCTTGGCACAAATGAGATTCAATCCAGCAGACTGCGCCTCAGCATGGAGTAGAAGCACATTCGTGTCTGTAGAGGTGCGAAATTGTTCGATAGTCTTGGTGCCTGCCTTGCTACTTTGGTCCAACTTCACAAATGACACGCCTTGCCGCTGTAGCGCTTGCGCCACGAGATCCAGTCCAGCGCCAAAAGAGGAAAAGACGATGGTCTTGGCTGCACGATCGATCTGCATAGCGATGCGATCAGTTCAACGTCAGTCGAGGGCATATCACCTCGAGCAGACTTTGTACTGACCTGGGCAATGTAAAGCAGATGCTGGATGAGCAAGTGGATCTTGGCACCGTGATTAGCAGCTAGACGAATGGATGTCAAATTTCTCCGAAGATCTGAAGGCATCATCCGGAATTGGGGCTTGGCATAGACCTTCTTGTCCAGGTCGTCCGCAAGTGGTCCATGTCTCGCTTCCGCCAATTCGTCTGCGGCCTCCTTCGTCACTGCAACTGTGCGAATTTTGACATCTGCAGCAACTGGTCTGTTGCACCTGCAGACGCGCGGCCGAGACTTGTATCAGCCATGAAGCTCTTGAAGCTTTGCAAAATGTTGCAAACACTTACCTCCAACACTTGCGGGAAGGAGGTCTCTCGCTCAGGAGTCGCTTCACACAGTCCGGACAAAAGTAGTGCGAGCAACTTTCGAGCATCCATTGAATACCGCTGGGATTGTAGCAGACGCTGCAATCGCCATCTCCGTACTCAAAGTCTCCCTTGTGAAGAAATTGCAAATAGCGTTGAGCGGGTCCCAGTCTGCACATCAGAATTCTCGGGTGTCAGCGCGCAACAGGAAGCACGCATCAGATTCCGCCACTCACTTCTTCGTCCGCCTTGCTATCTCCGTCTCGAGCTGCTCCATGTGCTTGGCAAGACTGCCTCGAACCTCGATGTCTCGGACAGTGTCCGAGACAGCTTGAATACGCTTGAAGTACACGACGCGAGTGTTGAATGCTCGAGCAAGCACCTTGGCATTCGACTGCAATTTGCTCATTGTGCCCCGCAAGGTCTTAAGCAGCTCTCGGGCCTGTTGACTCGCTTCGCGTGCAATGTGCATCTCCTGCCGACTATCAGTCCGGCTACTCATCTCACGAAGCTGCTTCTCTGTTTCGACGAGAGACATCTCTCCCATGTCGCGTCGAAGCTTTGCGCACTCTCGCTGTTTGTCCAGAGAACGAAAATGATGCAGCTGTTTGACTGCGAGTTGATACTCCTCTTCGCCCAGAATTCTGCCATTCTTCGAAGATGTCGTTCCGAGCAACGAGAGTCGCTTATGCTCACGGACTTGATCTTCCAGTATGACGTATAGTGTCGGCTTGGCTGTGGCATCGAGAGCTTCGGCGCCACTGATGATGACTTCGCGCTCAGCCAGCACGACCCTGTACATCTCCAGAATGACCTCTGCCTCTGCTTGGGCATCCAAATTTTCCGAGTACTGATCGTCTAGCTCGTTCTCAAGGCTGATCTCACGATTGACCACCTTGCAAAGTCGATCGACAATCTGATCTCTCCAAGTGTCTAGAACACTCCCATTCTTATTCAGCAGCTGTGAATGCAGTTCATGTCAGCAAAGACGGATCTTAGTCGCCTCGTTTCTAGAAAGCTCACCGCAACGAGCTCATCGAGCCAGCCGAAAATGCTTGCTCTATTAGGGCCGAGCGCGTGATTTCACGTCCTGTCAGCGGAGAAGGCATGATGTTGGCAGTGAGCCACTCACGTCAAGATTCCGGGCGGCCCAAATGCCTGTGACACCATGAGCTGGGGCAACTTTGTACGCTTCAGCTGCTCGATGGCTTTGTCGACATCGTTGAGGCTGTCAGAAAGCATTCGTTGTCTGACTGCTTCAGCGTGATCGTAAGCCTCTGCTTCCTGAGCCGCAAAGGGATTCTGAACTTCGCTGTCTGGTTCAACACCGACATGCTCTTGTCCAGCTGCGAGTCTAGCCGGCGCCTCTCCTTCCTTCCCTTCTTCCACATCGACATCCATCGGGATTTCCGAAGCTTTGACTTGCATTGCTTGTGCGGAAGCAGTAGTTCTCGCTTGTCCAATGGAGAAGTACACATTACCCAGAAACATGCATGCTCGGTGCAATTGCTCG